CAGTGAGCGGCCGTCCAGAAGCCGGCGACTGATCTGCCTCGTCTGGGAAGAGCGCAATGATGGTGCCAACTTGGGCCAGTGAAGCAACATCCTCCACAGCTGGACTGAGGAACAAAATGACAGCAACTTGTCTGTTCCTCTTCCCCCAATTCCCCAGCACTGTTCCCATCCCCCAATTCCCCAATAAAAATCTTTTTTAAAAAATAAAACAGCAAAACAAAGTATTTTAAGATCCACCCTATTAGAAAAAGGTTGGGCAGGGGATACTAAAAAAATGTTGACTATGATGGGCATTTCTACCTAGTGGGACCATGGCACCCTCCACTATGCCAAACATTTCTGTATTGTTTGAAATTTGCTTTTTACAATCGCTATGAATTATTCTATCAGGAGGGAAAAAACAATCAGTAAAGACTTTGTCTGAGGTGTTCACTGCGGTCGTTTGTTAGAACTTTCTAACAGGATGGCAATATTCTCTATCTCTGAAGCCCAATACAATAGCCACCTGCCAAGTTAATTATAATTTACATTTAAATGGAAATAGTCACATGTGGCTAGTGGCTACAGTATGGGACAGTGCTGGTAAGGGAGTTGATTGTAATATTCTTGACACTTTTCTGTAGCTTTGAACATTGTTCAAAATAAGTGAATTCTAAAAAAGACCTATTTTAAATCTTAAAGAGGATTACAATGAGACAAAGATCAGACAGACATGTCAACATTATCATAAGGTAGCTTTATTAAATTCCTTTACTTTCTAAAAAACGATTACAAAAAGGAATACTTCATTTAAGTGTAATACTGTCTTTATGGACGTACCGTGGTTGCATAGTGAAGTTAAAGGTCATGAATACATGTGAGAAGAGAGTGGGGACAGAGGCAGGACCCCCTGTAGCCTACGATGGGTACCGGGGGTAATAGGAATAAAGGGACAAATATGGATTTATCTGGGTGTATGTGTGTGGGGGGTCAATAAGCTGCTTCTAGAAGCTTAAAATAAACACACCCATTGGCTCCAGGCCAGGACACAGGCACACAACTCTGTACTGCTTCTCAAAGCTGCGTATAGTCTTCCAACAGATACCAGCGGTCAGCCTCAAGCAGCTTGGGATTTGTTTTGTCTTCCACACACACACCCACACCCACCCACCCACACACACACACACACACACACACACTTCACACACAATCTGGGGTGCCTCCCTCCTTTGACCATCCAAACTCTTTTGTCTTAGGTACAAAATCTAGAAGATTTTGATCCCTTCAATCAAAATCAAAGCAAGCCAGACTCCATCAAGCCAAGAAACTCACTTCTCTAGGAGAGAAGCCAGCATTTCACTTTATTGACTGAATGGATGAGCACTCAAGGCCTGATCTGTCCTCCTGTTGTCTGGCTCCAACCCTGGTGGCTGAGCTGAGAACTGGACAGGACACCTATTAGCTAAGGGTCTTATTCCCGTCACAAGGCACTTTTCAAGGCTCGGAACATGTCCCTTTTCTTTCTTTGGTTCACAAAAGGTAGGAACAGGAAAGAAAACCATATTGAGATTCTGGGGACAAAACAGGCCATAAAGGAAACTGCATGTGTCTGGCTGGCGAGCCCCATTTCCAGCAGGCTGCGTTCCAGGCAGCTCCGGAAAGCCTGTAGGTTGTTAAAAAACCCAGCTGGCCCTTGTTTGGTTTTCGGCAAAGCCCTGTCTCTTTAAGTTTGTGCTGGGAGCCCTCCGGGGGCAGCCAACTTTTAATCGTGCACACATGGGGTTTCTGGAGCCTGCCCTATGCTCTGCCAACAAGCACATGCCCTGTTTTCTTTCCTCTGAGGAGAGAAAATCCGGAGTCTAGGGAGGAGGAGGCCGGCCTGTAACCAAGGTTCTAAGCCCAGGTACTCAGCAGCCACACTGGGAATTAGGTTCATTTCCTGCGTCTTCAGGTCTGAGGGATTTTCTAAGAAAATATTTGCCGGGGCCTCCATGTGGGGAGGGGTCAGATTGCGGGGTAACTTCTCGATATGAACTTCCACTTATCTCAGCTGCTGGGTCCTGAGCCCCCCGCCAACTGAATGGGGGCGACACTGGCAGTGGCAGCGAGAAAGCAGAAGAAAGGACTGAATTTCCTTCCCCAGGTGACAAGGACAGAATCCATTTTGTGAAGAGACCAGAAGAAAATCCCCCCAAGAAAGCTGTCTGGGGGGGAGTGGACAAAATGCTATTATACACCAGACAATTAAATGCGGGGGGCATGGGGAGTGTTAAGCCACTTCAGATGCCACCCGTGCACAATAACATTCAGGATTAAAATGAAAATATGCAATTCCAGTGACTTTCAAATTTGGCAACAAGTTAATATGTCTCCCCAACCCCGACAACGATTGAAAAACACAGTATTTTTTTCCTTTCACCCTCCTCCATCCATCATTGCCAGCTGATTGTTCTCAGGGTTCTTCATAAACCCAAATCCCAGTGTCAGCCACTGGTGCCAATTTATACGAGAATGTAGCTTCGGTCTGCACTGTGGCTGCTTTGAACTGGGGTACCAGGAAAACCCCGCTTTAAGCTGCAGTCACTGTTGGGGGCTCCTCCTGGGAAGCACAAGAAAAACCCACTTGCCTTTGAGACTTGGACCTTGGTGGGTATGAGAGGGGGCTGGCCAGGGAGGAGATGAGGCACAAGGGACAAGGGAGGGGGAGCGGCTTAGTCTGGGGCCAGCCGGCCCCCGACGGGAGGAGCCTCTGGTCCCCTCTCACCGCTACTCTTCTGCGGAGGATGAAGCAGGACTTTCGTCATCTGACATCGGGGCAAACTGAAACGAGAAGCAGAATTCCTTGTTTGGCATCCTTGCTTATGAGGCTCCAGCTTTGTTGGCTGGCCCTGTGGCTGTGATGAGTGAACACGAGGCCGTGATCCCTTGGCCTCAAGGAGGCAACGTTGTCAGGGAGATGCCTCCAAAGAAGTAAATAATTGAATGCAGTAGAGGATTTTCATCAGGGATAAGGGATGGAAGGGAATGAAAGTGGATAGTGGGTGGTCAAGGAGGGGGACATCTGAGCTGAATGAGGCTGAGAGGCCAGCCAAGGGGATACGGAGGGCAATCCAGGCAGAGGAAACAGCCAGTGCAAAGGCCCTGAGGCAGGAGCAGTGGTAAAACTGGTATGGTTGGAGCTTAGTGAGGGAGGGGGAGAGGAAAAAGAGTGGGGGGAGGTGAGGGCAGTTGTGCAGGATGACCGGCTTTTTCTGCAAGTGGGATGGGACCCATGGAGGGCTGTGAACAGAGGAGAGATATGCCCTGACTCAGGTGTTCACAATGACCTCTGGCTGCTGTGGACAGAACAGACTGGAGGGGCCAGTGAGGGTGGGAGCAGGAGGGCCAGGGCAGAGGCAATAGCAGGGTCCAGGTGGACAATCATAGAGGATTGGGGTTCCTCCCTCAGGAGTCCCTGGGACCACAGATCAGGCATCACCCGGCTCCACCACCCCCATCTTCCAGTTGAGGAAACCAAGGCCCCAAACTGATCCCCAGGTGATCCCGAGGACCACGACTGAGGTCCAAGTGTCCTGATACCCTGGGGAGTGAAGCCAGAAAACCTCGGAGCCTTGGAAGAACCTCGGAGCCAGGTGCAGATGAATGGCATAAGTCTCCGCAACCTTTCCTCTCTTAGACCATTTGGGAAATTGTTGTGGTTGACACCAACCGTGTCACCCTTGAACCTGGCCCCAGGTGTGCCTCAGGGAGGCTGGGGCAAGTGCAAGGTGGGGGTGAGGAGAAGGGGACAGTGAGGCTCCTGCCCAAGGTCTGAAGTCAGACTGACCCCAGGGTCTCTGCCCTTTACTGGCTGTGAGACCTTGAACTAGGGATCTAACCACTATAAGCCTCATCTTCCCCACCTGAAAAATGGAAATAATCATAGTACTTATGCAAGTAATCGGGTTATTGTGGAAGGTTCAANTCCCCAATAAAATCTTTTTAAAAAGCTCCCCAGCCTTTGTCTCATGGACCGGCTAGCAGATGTGGAAGTCATGACACCTGAGTGCTTTCCTACAGAAATTTCAGTGTCAGGGCATAGAGCCAGGTACCCAGAGTCAGCGCTCAAAGAGAGTGTTGCTCACCCACCTGATGACTGAGCAATGGATGCTGACATCAGCTGTGTGACCTTTGGTGGCAGGGGCTCACCTTCTGTGACTAAAGGCAGTAAGATTACCTAACAATGCTGAGTGAAATAAAGAGGAGATAAGACTTTGTGTTCAGTTTATGGCTCTGCAGTTTACCTGTGACCTTGGCAAGTCCTTAACCTTTCTAAGCCAAATGGCTAATGATAGTTCTCTTATCAGCTGGGGCAGGATGTTCAAGAGACAAACCGTTCAAGATTGCACAACCATACACTGACATATAATTGCTCCAAATCAAAAAAGGTCACTCACCTCCCTTCCAAAAAGCAAAGCTAGAACCACCTCACAGCTAGTAGGATAGCTACTATAAAAAAATAAAACAAAACAAAAAATAGTAACAAGTGTTGGCAAGGACTTAGAGTAACTGGAACCCTTGTGCACTGTTGGTGAGACTATAAAATGATGCAGCCACTATGGGAAACAATATAGCGGTTCCTCAAAAATTAAAGAGAATTACCATAAGACCCAGCAATTTCACTTATACATATATACCCCCAAAATGGAAAGCTGGAACTTGAAGAGAGATTCGTACACCCAGCATTATTGACAGTAGCCAAAAGGTAGAAGCAACCTCGTTGTCCATTGTTAGATGACTGGCTAAACAAAATGTGGTATATACACACAATGGAATATCACTCAGTTTTAAAAAGGAACGACATTCTGACACATGCTACAATATGGATAAGCCTTGAAGACGTTATGCTGACTGAAATAAGCCAGACACAAAAGGAAAATACTGTATGATTCACTTATTTGAGGTCCTTAGAGTAGGCAAATCCTAGATACAGAATGTAGAATGGTGGGTGCAGGTGCTGGGGAGGGGGATGGGGAGCGAGTGTTTAATGGGGACAGAGTTTCAGTTTGGGAAGATGAGAAAGTTCTGGAGATGGGTGTTGGGGATGGTGGCAACAACGGAATGTACCTAATGCCACCAAACTGGACACTTAAAATTGGTTTAGATTGATGTTATGTATACTTTACCACAATTAAAAATACATGTATTAAAAAAAATCAAAGCAGGGGCCGGCCGAGTAGCTCAGTTGGTTAAAAGCGCGAGCTCTGAGCAACAGGTCGCCGGTTCGATTCCTGCATGGGCCAGTGAGCTGTGCCCAAGCTGAGCTGACAACAGGTGGCAGGATGGCTCAGCTGGTGAGAGCATGTGCTCCTAACAAGGTTGCTGGATTGACTCCCACATGGGATGGTGGGCTACGCCCACCCGCAATTAAGATTGAACATGGCACCTTGAGCTGATCAGCTGCGAGCTGCGGCTGGGCGGCCAGATGGCAACTGGACTTGGAGCTGAGCTAGCTGTGCCCTCCACAACTAAGATTGAAGGACAACAACTTGGCTGTTCCCCTTCCCCAATTCCCCAATAAAAAAAAAAAATCTTAAAAAAATCAAAGCAAGATTTGATGGTGATGGGAAATGGGTTCTTAAGCATTAGCTGAATAAAATGAACAAAAATGACAAAATGGCCCCAGGCAATTACTTGTGAAAAACAATTTTTAAAAATTTCCAAAAGGCCCCTTCTTGGCTCACAAACCCCTCTAAAAAATTGACACGTACTGTGGACTTCTGCTCAGAAATATACAACTTTGCATAAAATTCCTGGGATTTCCTAACACCTCTGAAAGCGACCCATTAGCTCCTGGTTGAACAGTCCAGAGGTAAAACCGTGGAAGTGAGAAGCTAGGAGAGCAATCATCATCATCAGTCACCTTTGGAGGGAGTGAGGGGAGAATGGCCGGGGACTGGGGACCGGCCCAGGACGCTCTACTTCCTGTCCTGGTGCTGGTGACTGTTTTCAAAAAGCCATGGAACTGTACACTTTTGTACACTTGTGCACAAAATGTATATGTTTATTATACCTCAAAAAATAAAACAGAGGCTGGCCGAGTGGCATGTTGGTTAAGAGCTGGCTTGGGACGCCAGCTCTGAGCAGCAGGGCCCGGGTTCGGATCCCACATGAGGGCCAGT